ACTACTCCTTGTTAAACTTTCTCATCTCATGAGCCCGTAATAATTGTTAGTTAATTTTGCAACAAGTTATTCTGCACAGCCCGTAACTTGTTGGGTAAATTGATCTTTGCGGAGCCGATGGGCTGTTTGACAGCGTGGTGGGATGTATGAACTAGTAATAAGCTTGATGAGCAGCAAAATATGTGGTACAGACCATTAGCTGTGTTGTGGTAGGCTTACCAATGACGACCATATTAACTGCTTCATTTCTTCAATCTCCTGAGTTCGATTTCGTTTTCAACATCTCACGTTCCTTCGGCGTTTGCTTATTGCGGGGAGCTAGAGGAAAGGAAAAGGCTTGTTATAACCCAAACTTATTTAAATAGTTGACTAAAAAGATGTCCACGATTATCTTTAGATCGCTTAATTCAGAAATAAAGCTGTGACGCTAGAACGTCAAATATTCATGATCCTAAATCATCGCAAAGCTAACCGCTCCCGTGAAACTGTCGGTTAGACCGAAACGAAGGTGCGAATCAGGGCACAGGCCGACTTCACTAAAATATACCTGAACATCAGAACATTAAGGGTAGCCGTGCTGTGTAACTAGGAAGGAGTTGAAAACAACTGAACATCCTTTCCCTTTGTCTAGATAAACTCATTGAGAAACGAGATCACACTTCACTGGTGGACAGAGGTGGGCAGTAGCGGTAGCGGTAGCGGCGCTACATTTAAGGCAATGTAGCGGTAGCGGTAGCGCCCGCTACATATTTAAGTAGCGATACGAGGTTTTTCCGCTACAGCGCTACCGCTACATTTATAGATAAAGCCTTTAGATTTTACTTAATAGTATTAAATATTATTTAAAAACCAGCATGGTACATTCATAATATAAATTCCAGAATAAAACTGTCCGAAAGATTTCGGTGTAATGTTGTCAACCTTAGCCTGTTACTATAGTGTCAACATGTTAGTTGTTACTTGTTAAGTTGTTACCAGTTGCTACTTACAGGTATTTTTTCATGTTTCAGTTTGCGTACAATTATTTTTACGCAGTTATTTTATCTTTCACTTTCCCTACATGGATGTCTACTTTAATCTACCAATCTCAAAAATAATCCACATATATATATACAAATAAAAGACTGATTTTTTATATGTACATGATGATAATTTTTGAGGTTTGAAGATTAAAGTAGACATCCATGTAGGGGAAGGTAAAACATAAAAATAACTGTAACTTTTATTTACTGTATCTAACCCGTACTGGTTCGGTTAGGTTAATTGCAATAAAGTTGCATTTATATGTTTTGAAAATGTTTTATTATCATTAAATGTTTATGAGTAAATCCAAATAGCGGTAATAACGAAAGAGGTTCTCAGAAATAAACAAACGTACTTTAATGTCAAACCACAAGATCGTCCGAATGAGACTTCGCTCTTGCCAGGGTCACATTTCACAGATTCAGAGAAATTTATATAAATATAGTAAATTAATAACTAAAGAGGTTCTCAGAAATAAACAAACGTACTCTAATTTCAAACTACAAGATCGTCCGAATGAGACTTCGCTCATGCCAGGGCCACATTCAACGTATTTGCTCGAAAAAGACTCTCTTTGAATCGTCAGGTCATCAGTCGTCGTTCTCACGCGAAACGATGTTGGAGAGAACAAGTGAGATAAATTAATGCCTTTGAGCGCGTAAATTTTTGCATTTGTAGGAGCAGATATAGTTGAATTAGAGGATATCGAAAAATAGTTTTTGTCGGAAGCATGATGTGCTGGATTATCAAAATCCGCAACAGCATTTTGGCCCGACAGGATGACTTGACCCACATCGAAATCTTCGTTCACAGACTGGATTTTAATATCCTTGTCTCCTGCTGCCATCCTCACTGGAAGCGCTATAGTCGAGTCCGAACAAGCTATGGTGAAGTTACCGTGAGTGTGAATTGTGGCGTTGGCGTAAGTTGAAATGCTTGAGTTTCCTGAGTGCGAAAACGTTATGTTGCCGGTAGCGTAAATCGTGGTGTAACCAGAAGCTACTATAAAGAGTTTACCCGGAGGCATCACCTCTCCCATATTGGAAACTTCACGTTCATTGAGATTGCATATTATAAACTGATTGGACGGTTGAAGGGCTATGGTGTTTGAATAATAGTCTCCTGACATCCCATTCAAGGAAATCTGAAGTTCATTGCTGAATGAAATGTATATATCGTTTAACTTTGACTCTGCAGAGTAAGAGGAAGGTTTGGCCCGAACGAGTTTGACACAAGTGATATCATCGGCATTGTGCTGACTTATGTTATTTGGCGTCGAGGACATGATCCGAGTTAAGGGTGAAGGTAGTTCTGGCTTAAAGTTGTTGAGAAGGAAATAGTTTGCAATTATCACTGCCACGACGATCACGCCGCGACGCCACATCCATTTCTGCGGGGCACAAAGAATATTTCATCTAAGAAAATTGTTCGGAAGGTTTGTCCATCAATATTATTTTGTAATTTAGGGCTTAACAGTTTAATAAGATAAAAGAAGAATCTAAGTAAAAATACTGCGGAGGCTTGTTGAAATAGCATATAAATACAACATCGAAAGCAGGCAGGCTGTGAGGCTTCAAAGCAAGTACAAGTTTTCGCAGATCGTTTAATAGCTTTTCTGCTTTTAGAATTTCAAATCTCGTGAAACGGTAATAACTTTCAACATATGTAGATGCGGTCCAAACCTTGTTTTTCCTTCAGGATTTTTGGTTGGAAATCGTATGGAGCTTGGAAATCGTATGTGCATTTAGTTAGAGTTGCTTGGAAATTAAATTTCACAAATAAGATCAGTATATATGATAATAAGTGTGTTTATAATCGTTGAAGTTCGAATTGACTACATAATATAGTCATTGTGTAGTTTGAAGGTAAGATTTTTAATGTCAAGTCTGTTTCTGAATTACTTTGGGCTATGAATAGAAGAGATCAACTATGTTATATTATATAATGGTCATTCGTATTAACTATTAATTGCAAAGAGTTTCTATTTATCAGTCATTTAATTTTTGTTAGTGTTTTGAATATATTGACATGGTGTGCGAGAACAGATTGAGTCGCTCTGGGTTAGTTTGTTCACCATTTTTTCACAATAGATTTGATTGTAGTCCATTAAGCGGTGCTGATAAATTAACAGTTGGACGTTATGATACCCGGACAAAAATTTTGATTATAAAGCAACCAACAGCAAACTGAGGGCTCACTCTAACCACATCTGAGAAATAATTCCAATTGAAATATGATGGATTATAAATGATAGAACAACTCACCGTCACATTATACATGAGAAGCATTGGATGCTGTCTGGTAATTGTTTCATTCGCCTGATTCAATGCATAAGGTTGCAGAACTTCCATAGCATTCAATGCAACTTTCTGGATATTAAATATTACAGTGAAATGGCAGCTTATGTTACGTTGATTGCTTTTCTCTAGATGAAGATTGCAAATACTTTCTATCATTTTGGGAGAATGCCTGGGCGCAAGAGTCTTCCACAAAATCTTGTGAAAAGAACTGTTCAATTTGATTATCAAGATCCTTCCGTCTATCTACTGAAATTCTATTTCAAATCAATTTACAGTGCTTCTCATCGAGCACACCACAGAGGGCCCATCCTAGGGAATATCTAGCAGCGAATAATCTGCTACCCTCAGCGCTTACAACTTCCAGAGGCCTGAGCAAGGATTGGACGTTCATGCCAATCAACAAGGAAATGTCATCATCGATAAAATTGAATGGAATATCTCTGAGACGAGGTACTTTCTTAACATCATAAGTCGGCAAGTCAGACTTATCAAATGGACAGCTGACATCAGGCTTAGTGTACGCTACTGGAACCAGAGCACAAAAGTGGTCACAACCCATCCAGGTCACAGATTTCTAAGTTATTTATAATATTCGTATTCATTTCTCTTTCTTTACCAGCCTTGGTAGTTACGTTGATGTTACGATTAGAACCAAATTTAACATTGAGCTTATCTAAAAGTTTTTCATTCAACCAAACGCTACTAGAGCAGGAATCCAGAGCACAGTTTACAACAGTCTCAGTTGGAAGTCCCTTAATTCTAATCCTAGCTGGAACAACAGGAAAAGCTACCTTTAATTAGTCACTTATTTTAGAAGAACACGTTTTAGGTAGTAACACATCACCTGGTTTGAGCTGAGACTCTCGTGACGATTGCTGGCTTTCGTTGACGTGCAGGATAGTAGGATGACTACCGTCGCAACGGAAGCACTTCAGCAAATTCTGGCAGCTGCTTTTCGTGTGATTCCTCTTCAAGCAACCGAAGCAGAGTCTCTCCCTCCTAATGAAGTCAGTTTTAGCAGCAGGAGCTAGAGCACTGAACAGTCGGCATTAACTTATGAAATGATTCGTATTCGCACAGTATTGACATGATTTACTCTCCACATCGTCAGTCGTGGAAATAGCGAGGACCTTGCGGCGAGAAGGAACAGGTCTGTCGATATCCGTGATTGTACCGAATAAAGGTTGACTAAGAACCAAAACTTCTTCGCTACCAAAATCGACAAGATGCAGAAATGTGACAGGCTCTTCCTTCTGAAGAACATGAAAGGTCTTTCGTCTCCAACGTTCTCTAAGTTTCAGGGGAAGCTTGCTCACTATGCTAATTATTTGCTTGGGATTCTGAAGCTGGTTGTTCATTGACATGTTGTCGAGATAATTGGAGCAATCCATAAGGAAGACCGAAGGTTCCTGTAGAGAATCTTTATCGTCTGATTTTATTCCTGACCAGGCATCCAGTTTCTGAATACAAGCATTGGCGACTTTAAATTGATTACCGTACTCCTTGAGGAGCAGACTTTTAGCTCGTATCAAAAGTGGAGAGTATAAGTTTAGCGTCCGCTTCGCTGGCTGTAGGCACACAGAAAGTGAGCCGCTCCTGCCGAACAAGCTAGTGGCATATACAGGCAAGACCAAGTAGATGCTTTTTATTCGTAGACCTGTTTCCGTTTTACGTGACATCACCTTCAATGGGACAATTTTACAATGGGTAGATGAATTCAGGGATCTTGGTTTAATCCTAGATAACAAGATCTCATTCAATAAACACATTAACCACGTCTGTCAGGGAATGAGTAAAACCCACGGTGTTCTGCGTGCTTTATCAAATGCATTGCCTTTTCCTTCATTATAAAACGCTTTTTTACGCATTGTCCTTATCAAAATAATCAAACACTTTAGTAATCTGGGGTGCTGTACCTTTCAATACAAAAAACGGATCATCACATTACTTAATAAATCTTTGCGTCCTGCCCTACTGTTTAAATTGAGAGGCATTCTTAAAAATGCTCACTCCATTAAATAAAAAGTTAAATTCACCGTCAAAAGTAACCATCCGCAATTTAATGAAGACAATCACAACTAACATTTGAAGAATTACAGTGAAATGTAATCTGAATTGTGTAGGACAAGTTGTTTTATAAGTGCCTCGTCGAATCCTTCAACTTTACTGCAGTGTCCGTATTTTGAGACCGCGGTGGGTAGAACTTCTGTTAGAATATTAATGAGAGTCTCTAAAGGCAGTGACATGTCCCACGCATCCCACTGCTCCGCGAGAGTCTGCAAGAAATTTATTAATTAATTGCGTAAAACAATATAATAAATAAACTTTCATCAATGACTTGTTCAATCGCGAGACTTTGCAACCTCCGTAGTTAATTAATCTCATTAATTTCCAAAAAGAGCAAGTTCAACAACAATTTGAAAGCTAGGAAAATAGTAGCGAAGCGAAGTTCGCCATATTTTCATCATCCAAAACGTTGCTCCATCATCATACACCTTCTTCATTATCGAATCAAAAAGATAATAATAATAGCAAAACAACAGGTTTATATAAGACCAGCTCCAATAGTTTTCAACTAATGATGGAATGATTTCTCGAAACGTTTTCGATGAAGATAAGTGAATTTACATGACGCTTTCGAACGTTAATAAACATAAAACACGAGAATTAAAAAAACGCTTCTACATGAAAATCATTTTGTTTTATTTATGATTTGAAAAGAAAAATATTACTAACTGCTATCTTTGGATGACGTTCGCCATTTAGAAAGGAGCCTCCAATGCCATGCACCAAGTAGGGTCCTCTCTCCATGATCTCCGGGCAGCGGATCGAGAAATTCCAGCACGCCGGCCATCGGAAGTTCCAATTGCATTCCAGTTCGTAGAAATGTTCTGGAGCCTGTGCAAAAAGAAGCAATAATTTTTCGTTATGAGTTGTCAATGTTTGAGCGTTAAAACATATAGTTTTTAAAAGAAAAAACAAAGACATTCCATGAAATTACCATATATGACATATTTGTCTTCTCGTATAATCAATGAATGAGAGATAATTCACAGTGAGTGTTGAGATAATTCACAATACTCACTTGGTTGAACATAAAGTTCAGTTAATCCACAACACTCACTTAATTGAACGTAAAATTGAGGTAATCCACAATACTCACTTAGTTGAACATAAAGTTAAGGTAATCCACAACACTGACTTGGTTGAACATGAAGTTGAGGTAATCCACTGCACTCACGTGGTTGAACATAAAGTTGAGGTAATCCACAAAACTCACTTGGTTGAACATAAAGTTGAGGTAATCCACAAAACTCACGTGGTTGAACATAAAGTTGAGGTAATCCACAAAACTCACTTGGTTGAACATAAAGTTGAGGTAATCCACAACACTCACGTGGTTGAACATAAAGTTAAGGTAATCCACAAAACTCACTTGGTTGAACATAAAGTTGAGGTAATCCACAAAACTCACTTGGTTGAACATAAAGTTGAGGTAGTCTTGGTCACCAAGCTCGTCGAGATGAAGGCTGGAGATGGCCAGACGGAGATTTTTTAACCAGAATTCTGGAGTGTTCCGCACGCGCGTTAGATTGAGTAGCAGAATTCCGGCGTTGAAGCCTCTCCCATCGAACTCGTATTGCTGGAAAATCGTGAGGAAAATTCCATTAATCAATGATCTGAAACTCGTTACGCTCAAATTACAAGCGTTGTCCGTCAAACTTTCCGCGACAGCTATAATAATTTCCCATTTAACTCAGTTGATCGTTAATTTTACTAAATAGGGCGTTTTTTAGTGATATTGGCGGCAGGAACCACATTTAAATTTATTCCAAATGATCTTTTGGGAGATGAATTCAATATTAAACCATATCACATGTATTAAAATTTGTCAAGATTCATTTTAATTGTAATTTTTGTGTCTTTTAATTTAGAGTAATACTTGTCCTGCTTCATCCTTCCTTTTTACAGACGTCCATGTGGGTGTAGCTGCGGCCATCATTTGTTTATCATCAAAGCGTTTGAACTCGTCCCAAAGCTGCACGGGCGACCGCATAAATATCACGTCCGTGTCTATGTAAATTACTGCGTCTTCTTCCGGCACGACTTGGTCGATAAAAAGCCTTTGAGAAGAACAGGGGCGGAACAGCTTCTCCAATTGCTTAAACTCGTCTGGATAGAAGTTGTTAACAAACTGCAACAAATCAGAAGGATGATGTCCTAGGAAATTTTGTCAAGGACGTTGCTCATGCATACGCGACTTGGTGACGTTGGAATGTCATGTGTCTAGAAATTTAAGATGCTTTTCATGCAATTAATTGGCACAATTGTATTTAATACACATAAAATTGGAAATTCATCCAGACAGACAGAGCAATGTAAATGCATAGATATTAAAATTCAAATGAAAAGGCATATATTTTAGGAACAATTTATCTTCATTGGAATTCGTACTGATAAACGAACAAATTTGAAGCTTGAATTAACAGAAATTAATTTCTCTAGAGTTGGATTGAATTTACTGATATGGCGTGAATTTACTTGAAATATACAATTTCTGACATTAAGCGTTCCATATCAGAGATAGGGGAAGATTTATTCATTCGATTATGCTGAATAGAAATTAAGATTACAGCTCACCTGGAGTGTTAACTTCGATTGCTGTTCACGTGGCCAAGACTCACTCAAAGCTTCGATCTTCTCGAATACATTTCGCGAATCACTCACAATTATGAATCTGGTCATCAAATGAAATAAAAGATAAATGAAATAATAAATAATAAATTCCAATTGCCTTCTAATTCACGAATATTTGTGCTTGACCGGTAAGTTAACCTCCTGATAATAATTGGGTTGAATAAGTTTCGTTCCTTCGCGAGGTAATTTATTTCCATAGAAATGGTTATAACGGCGTTTAGTTGTTCTTTATTATTCTTAGCTATCATTAATATTTTTAATTGTTTATTATTTTTTCAGAAACTGAATAAAAGCTTCTAAATGCTGCATGAATGGTATCAAGAAACAAAAATTGTTTAAAAAAGTTGATCGATTTGCATAGCTATTAAAGTTTTGTGACATACTCCTAAACATTTAATAAACAAGACACGGCTATGTTACATAACTCAAAAAAGAGGCCGTATTTATTCAACATATGACTGTTGAACGCTTAATTAATGTAGCATTAATAACTGATTTATTAATGAAACTTACTTCACTGGTTGGTTTGATAAATAAATGAATGATTTCATGGCTGCATGGGCCTGAAAAAACTGACGACTGATGTCCGTGAGGGCGCTCGTCAAGTTATTAGGAGTCCCTGGATTGAAAAGTATATGAATCGGACGAATACAGATATTGAATAGGTATTATGTTATAAATAATTGAAACATAATTTTGTTTTCGTACTAGAAACTTCAGGAGACAACGGTCAACGGTTTCACCTTCATGCAGTTTCTTACTCAAATGACAATTCACATGACAATTGGTAATCATCTACACTAAGCTATAAGAAATGAGGATTCTAATAGTAAAAATGCTCCAATTAAATCACATTATTATTTGGAAAGTGTACCGGTCTAGATGGTGAACAGCGTTGCTTGATTTAAACATCCTACTGGAAGATTTGTGACTTCTTCTTACCTTCACACAAAACCATCACAGCTACTACTTCTTTGGTTGGTATCGTTGGCCTCGAATAATATGCAGTTGTGTTTGTCGTCTCTGTGAAACACATTGTTGAAAAAATTAATTGTAAAAGAAATTTTTATGAACTACAACCATCACTGGAAAGAACATTCATAGCGAACGCTTCGATAAATTTTATATTTTATCAATGTACCTATGGTGCTTTCCGAAAATTCAGAGAAATGTGTAAAAAATTCGTAACAATCTTGATTCATTTAACCCACCTCCTAGCTTTTACGATATTTCTTACGTATTGTGACCTTTTTATCTTATCTTTGCACTGAAATTAATAATTATTTCCACACATGCTCCTCCAGTCTCTGAATTTTTAGTTTAGCTCCTCTGAATAAATTGGCTTCAGGTTCTGGACAGTGTGATTAAGAACATCTTAAGGGTTATAGCAGGTGAGCTTCGATCTGTCTCGACTAATTAAGTATTTCGTGGATAGGACAGTTCATCTACAGAGTTCCTCTTAATTATCATTAGAATGAAGTTTGACGTACCGAATAATAATTCATCATTGAAGATCAACAAATCGCCGTCATTATCTTCAGAAATAACTTCTTTTCGGATAATGCGACGATAAGCAGAATATCCTGCAGACTCTCTCTTGATGAGATACAAGTTAAGTTGAAGGAATACAAAGATCGTTCCACCAATTGCCAGGACGTAACACAACTTAGAAATTGGAATCCATATTACCTGGAAGGGGTAGAACAACACTTTGTTACATATTTATTAGAACAACTTAAATTAGTGCGAAAAAATGTTTATAGACATAGAACTGTGCAATATTTTTATAAGCGATTCATCCTTCAACGTAAACAACTTAATTCTTCATACATAGCCGAACAAAAATCATACATGCCACATGGGTAAATATTTTAATACTTACCGAGCCACGGCAGTGAAACATTTTTTTAAGACCTGATTAAGTTTAGATCTTTATTTCAATTCAAACAATTTAGATCTCTTGAAACTACGTCAAAATCAATCATGAGAAATAACTATGGATGTAGTAAGGATTGAAGTCATAGAAAACTATTTTTGATGGAAATTCAATTTCATTTATTATTGCAAGGGAATAATGCAAGATTACACTTGCCTAAACTGGAACAGAAAATAAGTGACGTCAGGAATTCCCATTCAACATTAACAATGGGGTAGTACTGCTCATGATAATTATATCCTCGTTAAAGATAACAATTTGGTTTCAACAACAATATGGTTGAGAATTTTCGGGTAATCCAAGCGAGACTCCCGCCTATACCGAAGGTACCCGACGATGAAGGAATCCGTTCTATTTGTTCCAAGGCTTGCGTTTTCTTTTCACTTTATTTACGGCTATACAGACCTTTAGTTGAATGTTCTTGTGATTTTTAAGCACTCTTAAGTTTCACCTTGTATATCGCACATTTATTTCATACAATTTATTACGTGAAATTTCCCCAAAAATTAAAACAATGGAACCTCAATAATCTTTGAGGTTTCATTTTTTTAATATGATTATAGTGATTCCTCTGGAAGCACACTCTACGGATAAAATTGTCATTGTTAAATCCGCTCCCAATTAAATATCTATATGATCTCACGAGATATCTTAGCATATGTCGCAGGTGTGTTATTAGTTATTACACGTGTTCAGAGCGAAGCTTTCCTCTCGTTCATATAATTGATTCTTTGCCTTTTGACATGCAAGTTAACCGCTCCGAACTGAGGCGTTACTGGGAATATTTTAGGCGGACTTTAGCCCTCCCGCTAAATATTCTTTATTATTTATATTATTATTATTATTATATTATTATTATTATAAGGAAACCCGATTATAAGTTTAAACAAATAACTTAGTCAATATAAAATTGATTATGATAAAAAATTAATAATATAGATAATATAATAATGCCAGTAAAAAAGTATAATGAAGAAAAAAAAAGTCTTTGGGCCAGGCTACCCTTGACCTTAAGCAAATGCTTGAGTAACAGGTCCTATTATTTCATCTTTTCAGCGCATTGTCTCATTTATGAAAAAATATGCGCTATTGTGCTCGTCATGTCCGTCCGTCTGTCTGTCTGTCCGTCCGTGACTTCAAGTTTTCGTCGACGAGAAAATTGCTTTCTGTCACTTCAGTGAGTACTGAGTTATATTTTTCTTATTTATTCTAGTATATTAATAAAAAATTTAATTATATTTTAATATTGATTAAAATATTAATAAATAGTTTTTAATTAATTGACACAATCAGCAGTGAAAGGTATTGGTTAATTACGTTATACAAATAAAAGAGACTGGGCTGAATGTGATAAATTTGATAGTCAAGGAGAGTGAATGAGCGAAAAATATTGCTGCAAATGTCATAAATAGAAATTCAGTTAGAGGTTCTTGAGAAAGATTTTTTTACATGATATATCATTTGGAATTATAAGTAAAAGCAACTCCAAATTTGAGTCAGACTTTAAATGGTTGCTTCAATTGCAACCATTCAAAGTTGCGTTGCGTTCAAATGGTTGCGTGAAATTCCGGCCTGCAAGGTCAGAATTTCACGAACTTTTGGAGTCAATATCCGTGATATTCTAATTGAAAGAAGTTAAACGAAGTATATTTGAATGTTTTGAAGAATCAAAGCTCCATACTCGGCCTATGGCTCGCACAGATTTCACTTAGAAGCTCGAAAATCACGCAAAAAAGGCATTTTCACGTATTTTTGTTCATGATAACAGTGTTAATACAAAGTTTACATAATTTATCTTAATTTCCGTTAATTTTAAATAATTAAGCCAGAATTGCATTCCTAATTTCAGACTTGTGTCTTATTTAGGAACGGAGTTATTTGTCGAATGCGTAGTTAGTTAAGAAGCGCCATATATAGGCGATTGAGGTAACTGACAGCAATGATGCTCAGTCTTAAGATTGCATAATTACACTATAGTTCCCGACAACACTCGTGCACTCGTGACAGATGAATTTGATTGAAGTTTCTTTTCATAATATCCAAAAATTGTCGTTCAGTAATACTAGAGATAATATTAAAGACCTCTCGTATTTTGTGCGGAGATTGTCATAAATCAATCCACACTTCGCGAATGACGTGAATAGACTGAAGTTTATAATTCCGATAACTTTCAAGTGACGATAGGGCTATTGATTCATAGCCAATAATGAATGCTAGATACACTGAATTTTGAATGCAATGAAGTTTATTCGTCGATGTTGATGAATTGTTGATGTGAATGTTGAATATTAGAACGAAAGTAAATCAGTGTTATAGAAACAAATACCGTCGCTCATAACTTCTGACAGATAGTTTTGCGTTTTGTTCTCATACTTGTTAGTCCCGGAAAAGAAAAAAAATAAAATTAGCTATATATTGAAGACCAGAGAATTTGATTAGTTCTCAATTTTCTTATTAGTTTTTTCAACATATCTATAAATATTTTTCGTTCGAACTGGTAAATCGAATATCAGGGTACCGAAATTAACACATATATTATTTCAATTTCTATATTATATATAGAAATCGTAACTATTATACACTGATTGTGCCGAGAACCATTGACTCGGCGGATTAGCGGCGTCTAGGCCTAGCGCATTTTAAGAATTCATTCACCTTGTAGCCGTCTTAGACAGATGAACTATCATCGTGTCAGTAGTCTTGCAATTTTGTTCCGTCAAACAGCTCATGAAAACCAACGTAAGTTAAGTTGCTAAGCTAAGCCTTTTGAATCATGTACCTATTGTTCAGTATATTCATGTACGTTTCGATTTTATTTATGTTCTTGATTAGTCATTTGTCGAAAATTTTCATTGAGCCAGTCTTTTGTTTTCGTTATTGTATTTTGTTCTCAAACTTGTTAGTCCCGGAAAAGAAAAAAATAAAATTAGCTATATATTGCCTCCTCTCTGGGCAGGTTCGCCGATTTAAGTAAATTCCACCAGCTACAAACGCTGCGCGGTTTTTACCCAAGCCAAAGTGGCGTTTACAATGCCTCGGCATTGACACCGATACATATACGATATGAACACCGATATATGGTTGCTATACATGGATTATTTTTCATAATGAGGTTCTTGATTTTCTGATTTTTATAGCAAATCAAGAGTTTAATCCGGTCAGTCTGTGTTGTCCATGTGATGTTATTTTGCACGATTGCATTGAGGACTCGTTCATCTGTCTTATAACCGCAGTTCATCTGGTTCTGGTAGTAAATAGTCTTGATGTTTTCACTTACAACAGGTTCGTTGTCAATTCGGCTTTGGCGTGCTCGGCAATTTGAAATTTCAATGTCGACTGCTCTGTTTGAATAGCCGTTGTTCACCAATATTTGCTTGCAGGACCGAAGTTCTGCTATCAAGTCACCAGCTGAAGCACAGGTTTTGAACGCTCTTTGTATGAGGGCGCGTATGGTGCTGGTTTTATACCTTAGTGGCCATTCACTTTCTTCGTGAAGCACTTTTCCAACATCTGTGGGTTTCCGGTAAACTTTAGTGACATAAGAATTATCCTCGACTTGAACTAGTATATCGTGAAAGGGCAACGTACGATTTTGTCCAAATTTATATGTGAACTTTAAGACTGAGTTGAGTTCTAAAGCCGCGCGCAGCTCTGTCATGTGGTTTATATCGCGGACAACGACAAAGATGCCATCGACGTATCTACAGTAAATACCATATATATACTGTATATATATGGTATCAGTTCTTGACTGATACCATATATAAATATATGGCATAATACATACGAGTGTCATATACTCACTTTAGGAATTTATGTCAACACGCAGTTACCCTCAATTCAACACTAAGAAAAATGTAGACTTTGTCCTAATAGCGACGCACTTCTTCTAATTGTGTGGGCAATCCTGACCCAGATTTGCCTGGCAATAGGACGCATCAGAGCTACACGCAGAAAATGAAACTATTTGGACAGGATGGCCCATTCAGTTTTCTGATTAATAGCTAATTTATTTAGCGCCTGAATTAATTTTTCCCTCGAAATTAATTGAGTGTATCGAACTCAGAAATGAAGCGATATGACAGAATTGGAAAAATAACGCAAAATATTGCCAAAAAAGTAGACTTAGCCAATATTTTATCAGAAGCTCCAAAAAATTATTCATCAAACTTAACACTTGACAGCTCTCAAAGCGACTCAAGTGGAATTTGACCATCTATCATGTGAACTTGTCCTCATAAGGTTACTAGAAAACAATCCTATGTTGTAACGTTAAGCACTGCCGCGCACAACACTGCCTCTGCTGCCTATAGGGCTGCATCGAAAAGACTGCCGGACATTTCTAGCTGAGCTCATCTGCAGCAGCACAAGTGCAGGTTAGTAAGATAAAATCTGGAGAGATAAACATAATTTACGGTTGAACATTGCAGTCCATTGGCTACAATTGGATGAAAAATTTCGGGTTTCACATCTAATCCATCCTCCCTACTGAAACTCAAGGAAGATAAAAGAATTGATATAAGCCAATATATATCTTATAAAGATATATATCTATATATAGATAGATATATTTTTATTAATCTTCTCGATGCTGCTAACCAGGCTTTTTGCGGGATTTGAAAGTTCGACTATAAGGTTTCCAAATGACATTTTTATTTCACTTTACGACGTTTCGAATAATCCATATTCATTATCAAGTAAATGAAGTGTTTTACAACGCTTGAAATTGAAATTTTAGAATGACAATAGTACATACAAAGGGCTGTCTCTTATACACATCTAGATGTGTATAAGAGACAGGTGCTCTACAATGAATCAAAGCNTGTTTTGAATATATTGACATGGTGTGCGAGAACAGATTGAGTCGCTCTGGGTTAGTTTGTTCACCATTTTTTCACAATAGATTTGATTGTAGTCCATTAAGCGGTGCTGATAAATTAACAGTTGGACGTTATGATACCCGGAC